CTCCACTGGCCTGGGACCTCATTCTGCCGTTATCCAGCCATCCACACCGCATTCCTGCCCACCCACTTGGCACATGGGAGCCATCCTGAGTATTAGATCAACTATCGCAGTTTTGCTGTGCTTATGTTAAAGTAACCTAGGGCCCAAGTGCCAGAGTAGTGATATACCAAACAGAAGGCATAACGTACTTCCACTTACAAAGTAAAAGTTCTCGACTTAAGAGAGGAAAAAGACACTAGTTCTGAAGTTGCTGTGATCTACAATAAGAATCAATCTTCTAGCCACGAAATTGCAAAGAAAAAGTCATGCTGGTTTTGCTGTCGCCTCACACAGCAGCAGTTCCAGACACAAGCATATCAGTGCTTAGTTAAGATGGGAAAGGTGTCAAATTTGTGTGTATGAGGCTTTGGTACTGTCAAAGGCTTCAGGCATCCACTAGTGATCTCTGAATCCATCTCCCACCCCAAGTTAGGAGAGAATACTGCAGTACATGCTAAATGGCAGCACGTCTTATGTTTAACATGGTGAATGCAACAGACTCTGGGAGTTTGGCCAAAAAATGAAGTTAAAAGAGAATGAGATAAGAGAGGGAAAGAGAGAGAGAGAGAGCGCATGCACGCAAGAGAAGACGCAAGTCAGTAGCTATGCATGTGATACCACGGAAGTCTTCACTCACGTGACATACTTTTGCGTTCTGAAAAAGAAGTTAAAAAGCAGATCTTTCAGGGAGTTTTGCTGTACGTGAGAATAGAAAATTGATTGAATAGCTGGAGGAAACATGGTAGCAAAATAGTTTTTCTGTCTGTTTGCTTCCATCAGAAGGAAAAGTAAGGGCATGTCTGTGTGCACACAGGAATAATCCAGAAAAAGGAGGAAAAGCAATGCTGTGAGAACGTGAGAGGAAAGTGTCCGAAAGTCAGCCCCTGAGAGGTGAGAAAGGGTGGAATCCAGCCCATGAGGGACAGTCCCCAAGGGAGAGCAGCTGCTCCGCTTGTTCTCAGGCAATGGGAAGCCAAGACATTACCTGAGTGAAAACCCCAGCGAGAAGGCACAGGACACTGAAGGACAGTTGTGTGTAGCTCCCCAGAGCAGTGGGAACCGGGCAGTGTGAGTGCTGTGAGCAGTGGAACTCTGTAAGGATGGCAAAGGTAAAGCAAGTCCTAGGGCTTAACTCCAGTCACACACAGCGGCAAGGATGTAGGGGAGAGCGGCGGAGGGTAAGGATTTAACTGTGTCTGTGGTTTGGCCAAGGACCAGGGACCGTGTGACTTGTTATCTCAAGGGCCAAACGATACTGACATCCTCCCGCACTGATACGACATTTTCAATGGATGCCATTTTTCATCTTTTCGTAGGTACACCTGAAGTATCTGGGAATGTAGATTTTAGTAAAACATACTTTCTATATATATGAGACGTTTCCTTTTTGTTCTTTCAGTGTTCACACAAGAGAATTTTTTGTCTTGTACTTGGGATATTATCTTTAATAGTGTAGCATGTACCAAGCTTCAGGGGGCAGAAATTGAAAGAGGACTTTGTAAGACATGTGAAACTATTTTTCGTGGTCTAATGGTTTTAAAATTAAGTCTAAGTCACACATATATCATAAAAGTTCCATTAATATTTCTCCAAGCATTTTTCACTTATTCTTTTGATTTATATGTGTATATATATATGTATATATGTGTGTGTGTGTGTGTGTGTGTGTATCATGTAGAAAACATTGTACATGCTAAACAAGAATCCAGGTTAACTGGGGAGAGGAGGCTGGAGCTAAAATATAGACCCAAAGCTATTTGGGAAAGACTCATATATTTAAAACTAATTATTATGCAAAGCCAGAAAAAGTGACCTCTGCAACATCAGTCCCATGACCGGTTCATCGACTCTACTGGAATTAACTAATCGCTGTAAAGGGCCTGAGGCACAGCCGGTGCTTGGGGACTCAGTGAGTGCTGCAGAGACAGGAGACGCAGCAGGCCATGAAGAAGCCATGAGTGAATCCTGAATATGGGAGCTGAAAAAACTCGGAAGAGAAAGCAGCACTTGAGCCAGGCCGCGAGTGAACAGGAGAAAGAAGAGAAGGAGCCTCTGCCGTGAGAGAGCGAACAGGTGCTGGCTGCGTGGACAGGAGGAAGACGTCAGGGCCCAGCGTGGGCGTGAGCGAGCGAGGACTGAGGAGCCCTGGGAAAGGTCGTATCCCGAGGGACAGGCAGCAACAGGAAGTGGGTGCCGGGTTCTCCGACGCGGGCTCTCACTGCGCACTCACACTGTGCAGCCCTGGTTTTCGGCTGCTCCTGAGATGCTTCGCTTCATGTCACAGAAGTGCTCTCAGGGACGGAGCCAGCGTCCCCATTTCACAGATGAAGAAACACAGGATGCAGCTGGCTGCGAAGCAGACCCAGGTTATGCAATGAGTAAGCGGAACCATTCAAATATCTTAAATAGTGGAGTGACACTTGATTTGTGTGGCCGCCACCTTTGGCTCTGAGAAATAATGAATAAAGTTAAATTCAGAAAGTAGGCACTAGGAATATTACAGCTGTTCCTCATCTGCATCTAGAAGCTTTGACTGTTCTAATGTCTTCGTTTGTATTTTTGTCTCTTCTTTTTTCAGTGATGTGACCATTTCCCAAAATTATTGATTTAAGGCTTGTTTTTCTGGCATTTACCTTGCAATTTAAAATCATAAAGTGGCACACTGTTTCCAAATGCATACTGTATTTCCTTGTCCTAGCATTCTTTTACTCTGGAAAAGGTGGCTTGTAAGCTTGTTTTTTCTTGAAATCACTTTGTCCTTTTCCTGTCCTGTGACCTTGCACTTCCTTCAGAGACGGTTAAGGTTGGTGGCCAAGTCGCTCTTGTGAGGGTTAGACTCACATTTTGTCGTCCTTCTGGAGAAATATTTACAGACCCAAATATTTCCATCTTCTAATAAACATGCCCTACTTTCATGGCAGACCTTCTGACTATCAATTCATTCTCATTAAATTTTACCTACTTTTTCCAAATACTTATATAACCCAAAAATACCAAACTCGTGAAAATGCACCCTAAGGAGATAAATTTCAGTTCAACACCAACACCGCCATCTATGTAGACCTGGAGAATAGCATCTAATCCAATCTAATTGATTTAACCAAGAGCATCTTCTTCAGCACTTGCAAATATCAATTCTTTTTAGTTCATCGAAATCTGTAACATTGTCTGCTGCAATCCCTGTCTTCCTTTTCTGTTTTTTGTTTTGTTTTATTTGAAAGCCTTGAGAGAGATATAACCGACTCCGTCGGTGTGGCCTGCCCTCTCCTCTCCCTGGACTGAGGTAAGCCTGGGTCCCTGATCTCAGAAGCCTTGCCTTCTTCTTCTCTAGAAATAACGGGCCAGGGCACCAATGAGAGATTCTGATCACCAGGGAATGCCCCACGGTGGGCTTTTGGTAGCAGAGGTGTATCTAGGGCTCGTGGGCTACGAGAAGCCGGAGGAAGGAGCAGAGTGTTGAGCCAACATTAGAGAGCTACCGACAATAGCGAAGCTGCAAGAGACTGTTTATGGAGGTGCCTCTAGCTTGGTCTTCACTGCACTGATACAGGAGGAGTAATGTGTGGAAGTTACTAGAAAGTGACTTGCAGCCCAAAGGGAAGAATTGTCTAAGCAGAAATATGTTTTAAAAATTGAAACAATGGGCTCCCTAGAGGGGAGAAGCAGCCCTTTGGAGCGTATTTCTCTTCTGTCTCTTCTAACAGTGAGGTACTTAAGACCAGATGGTCTTACAATTCGTTTTCCAAACAGACGCAATTAAGAGTGAAAGGGAGGTAGCCATAAACTTGGAGATCTGAGGAAGATTGATTGTGACCAGCATTCATGCTGCCAGGGCATGTGGCCATGTGGGGACTAAAGAGAGTCTGACCTGAACAGGAAAAAGGGGACAAACGAGAGTTTGTTTGAATGCTGGGAAACAGGGCAGCTCTGTGACCTTCTCACCCCCTTGTGCACCCACCCTGACAGGACGGAATCTAAAAACCTGAGACAAACAAGATCTGCAGGAACAAGCCTGACGTGAGCCAATGCAGAAGTCCAGCAGGACCCACCTGGAGGAAATTCCGAGACAGAGACGGGGCCCCTAGAGCCAGGCGGAGAGAAATACTCTCTCCCGGCTGAGAGTTCTGTGGAGCGTAACATGAAATGGCAAACGTAGTCCCAAACCCAAGAGAAGCAGACGGTGACAAGGGGATTGCAGGATCAGGGCGACAGCAGAACTGCCCCACACCACGAGTACCCTGAGGAGGATGGAGAAGCACAGAGAAATTGAGGACAGTTCCCCTGAGTGTGGTCTGTGCCACACCAGGTAGGCCTAAAACTATCTGACATGCTTGTTTTCCATCCTAAGTGGCAATCAAAATATAATCTCAGAAAGTTAATTTTTACTATTACAATATGACTGTACTTATAAAGTGTTCAAAAAGTTATAAAGTTGTGAGTAAAGTTCACATTCACTCCCTACGGTGGCACTGAGAGAAGGTCCCCAGCTCCTGCCGCTCTCACACATGCCCCAGGGGTAAACGGGCCCCTTTCGCTTTACCCTGCCTCTGCCTCCAGCACAAGAATGATCCAGTACAGCTGACTTGGGGCCCTGTCCTGCGGCAATGGCTTCCTTGCTGTGTAAACTGGTTCGAAAGGCCTTATTTGACTCCAGCATCCTTCCAGACTCACACCAGTGACTGCCAACTTGTCTGTGTGTTGGAATCGCCAGAGGATCTCACCCAAGTGCTTATGCCTGTGCTCTACCCAGGGACTGCGATTTAATGGAGTAGTATCCATTAGGTGAGCCATTAATCTCTCGCCATCCTGCCCTCCTGAAGAGTCTTTCCCAAGAATTAACCGCCTCCCATTTCAGTAGATCCTGGAGTCTGCTCTAAGCGACGGAAAATGCTGCTCCCTGCAGGACTCTGCTCACCCTGACAAAGAAGGAACTTGCACGCTCTGGGACAGGGTTTGAATTGCTCTGCAGCTGGCTGGCTCCGATCTCTGCTTGATGGTCTTATCCATGCCACATTTCGGACGATGTGACTTCAAGAGCCTCCCGTGGTACAACAGGAATCTCTATAACCACGTGCTGTCAGGCTCTGCGGCCACAGAGCGGCCGGCTTACGGTGAGTAACCACTGTTTAGCAGCAGTTCCCTTCTCACCTGACAGAATAGATACAAGGAAGAGATGAAGTGGGAAAGAATCAAGCCCTGACCCCCCCACTCAGTAACACATTCTGCTACCTGCAAGCCTCAGCACCCACTGGCAGGGCAAACTGAGAAAAGGAGCGTAGCATGTACACTGTGGTGAGAATGATGCAAAATAAAATGTACAGAACATTTCAAAATAAAAAGGGTGTTCAGGGAACGTGTGCTGTTATTATGAGGGGCCCAGAAGGTTAAACGTGAAATCTGATCCCCTCGGTAGCAGACAGCTGTGTGGCTGAGTGAGACGGCACAGGAAGGGGGCTCTTTGTCCTTCCTCCCGACACCTTTCATAAAATCTCAAGCTTGCTCTGCAAAAACCACTCAGACCCGAAGTTGCTGCGACTCGCTTTCAGTCAGACCACTGCTTCTCCGAGCCCCGTCACATAGAAATCCGAGAGCTGCCCTTAATCCGCAGGGAGGTTGTTTTGCTGTATTTTTCCTTCTCCTGGGGTTTCAGAAGCACTAGGCTTCCTCATCAAGCGCGTGCCTCTGAGTACGTGGATGCTCTATCATTCCCAACTTGAATTACAATGTCTACCGAGAGGAGGCTCTCCTGGGAGGTGTGAGTGCTAAGCGGAGAGCGATTCTCAGAGACGTGTGTGGGAAATGGTTTCAATATTTGTCAGACCCGAAACGCAAGATGATTTGAGATGTGGGGATTTTTAAAAACATACTTGATCAGATGATTACACTATTCTCTTCTTTCTAAAAGTATTTTGTCATTGGAACATTATAGTTGGCAGTTGCAGCAGAGTAGAAGTTTCATAAACCAGAGGGCTGTAATTTTTAGATTATTTTATTCATTTATCCATGTGTAGTACACGTATCACATAAATGCATATATTCATGAGAGATCAATCTTTCTTTTACAGATATCTCCATTAAAGTACACCGTTCGGAAACCAAAGACACAGGCAATGTCCCAAGACTCGAAACACCTGAAAGTGCTGCAAAAATGCAGAAAGTGTCAACCATGAGACAAATATTCGATTTGGCGAAACTTAGAACGAAAAGATCGGCACTGGTCCCAGCTGAGGTGAATGTCTGCCCACAGGAGTCCCTGAAACAGCTTTTAGCAAGTGTTCAAGCTTTCTACAGATGGAGAGGTACGAACTGAGATGAGACCTGTTGAGCCCTTCACCATCTTCACCCCTTCTCTCTGATTCATCCGTAGGCTGTTCTCTGCCCCACATTCACAGGGTCCCTCAGCTACAAAAGGTATAAAAATCAGCAGTGAATCTAAGTGCAGTGAGCCATCAGCATGCACAACTATGTTCATATCAGCTTGTGCCCTCAAAATAAAGAGATATAGTCAGACACCGGAGACTGTCATTTTCTATAAATGTATTTACTGCAGAAAAAAACACATTGCCATTAATCGCCCTCAAAAAATTCCCTCACTTCAAACACACTTATCCCGTTACTCTTGCCATCCTCCGAAGAAACTCCTGGAAGTCCTCCTTCGTGAGCCTCTTTAGTTGCACTGTTGTAGCTGCCTCAATGTCCTGAATTGATTCAAAGCATTTACCTTTCATAGTGATTTTGACAGTGGGGAAACATCAACAGTTGCCTGGTGCCAGATCCAAGGAGTAAGGGATGAGGACGCTCTGCCACGTTTTCAGGAGCCCGCCTTTCCTTCAGATGGCACTCGGCAGCAGCGTTCACTGTGTTTTTATCGCATCTCATAAAGACGCGCATCCAAGCAGACTTCCAGAACCACTTCAGAAAGCGGCGAGGACCATGGCATAAGTGTGTTCCAGTATCTTAAGCAAGGTTAATGGTAGCATAGCTTGTACTGCGATCAATTTCTAAAAATTAAGTGTTCACTGTACATTTTGATCTCTCCTTGTATCTGCGCAATACTGAGCAATTAGAGCATCTGACAAGTCACCCAAAAGACTTGAAACACCGGTTTTGCCTCTTTGCTTTGTTTTTAACAAAGCCCAATATGGAATTTTAATGGTGTCCTTATGAGATTAAAAAATGCAGGATTATGGCAACATCAGTAATCTGAGCAAGTTGATTCATAACTCGATTTCGTTTTTCAAAGCAACTTTACAATCTAGATTCCCCCCCATCTCTCTCCCTCCCTCCTTCCCTCCCTAATAATTTTAGGTCATTTATTGCAAAGAAGGCTCTGAAGTTTAGGGACTTGGTAGCAGGTTGGAGTGCCAAAGAGCAACAAAGGAAGGGGGTTATCAAGATAGAACACAGGGGTGTTACTGTGATTTCCTGCAGAGGCCAAATGTAGTTTGCATCCCCAAGACAGAGTAACAGGATTCGCACAGCATTCCCGGAAATTGGTAAAGAATTAAATCACACCACAGCGCTCCGTGGCTTTCCTTTGGATCCACTTGGTATGGATGAAAAACTTCCCACGGCTTCCTCTTTGAAAGGAAAAAAAACAAAATCTTTGTAGCTCTGCTAAAGTCTCCAGGTGGCTGCAGGTGGTGCAGAGTTTCTTTTCTCTCTGAAGCCTAAGTCCAGTCCATCGCAGCTGAGAAAGTTGCAGGGCTTACTGACTTCTACCCGATCAGACTACCTGTTCCAAAACGTGGAGCCTCCTTGCAGTACTTAAAGTCCCCTGTCTAGAGCAAGCTGGTCCAGCCTTCGCCTGTGCATTCTGACCATGAGAACTGACTGCGACACTGACAGCCAGGAAAACTCTTGGATGTCTGCACCTTTAAGATGTGCACTGGGTTAATTGAGGCATTCTTGCTGGGTTTCAGAAGCGTTATTAACTCATCATCTCAAAAATATCGAGCTTTATTTTCCTCGTGTGTGTCATTTTAAGTGAACATTTAAAAAGAAGTTCTCTGATAGAATTTGCACCCATAGGAAAATGAGCAGTATTAAATCCATCAAAGGACCTCTAGTTATAGCAAAGAAGTGTCCTGTACTAAGGTTCTGCGGTCTTGGCATAGCATCTCCACAAAGCAGTTCTCAGTAAGTGCCAGTCCAGCTATGGACACAGAAGGCACAGAGCCCATTCTGCGGGAGTGAAAGGAAAAGACAGTGGTGTGTGAATTATTCAGTTGAATTTATCTACTCACTGATTGGATAAGGACATGGGTACATTCTCTACTGTTTGTTCTCAGATAAATCTATGAAAATACAAATAGATATAGCACATGTATCACCTTGAAATAACTACTGTTGCTAAATATTTTCATGCAGCTTCTAATTCTCTTTTTTATTATTATTGTACTTTTTTTTTTTAAACAGAGTCTCACCATGTACTTGAGACTGACCTGGAACTCACTGTGTAGCCCAGGCTGGTCTCAAACTCACGGTGATCCTCCTGCCTCAGCCTCCCGAGTGCTGGGATTACAGGCATGTGCCACCATGCCAGGCCTATTGGTACTTTTTAGGTATACAGTACAGTGACATTCATCATTGGATCTTGCACCTTCACATGCTGTATCTTGGTTCTTTTTTTTTCCTCCATTCCCCTGGCCTTCCTTCACCCCCTCCACCCTTCCCTATTTACAAAGAATTTGTTTCCATTTTTTTCTTTTTCTCTTATTTTTTCCTTTCCCTTCTTACCTTTCCCCTACCCCTCTCACTTCCTCTACCCCTTTAGACCTTTGCTTCCTATTTACACAATATTAATTATATATTTTGATGCTTATTTACACTTTTAGTTTATCACACCAGAGAGACTATACAGTACTTACACATGTGGCCTTATTAATTTCACTTAAGAGTGTGTGCATGCACTTAGCTATAAATGTCTCTAGTTTCTCATTCCTTGTGGCTGAGTAGTACTCCTTTTTTTTTTTGATACTGGGGATCGAGCTTGGGTCCTTGTGCTTGCAAGGCAGGTGGCAGAACTGCTGAACTAAATCCCTAGCCCACCATTTCATTTTTTAAAAAAACACATCTTCTTCATGCAGTCTCCAGTTGATGGGCAATCGGGCTGTTTCCAGGTTTTAGCTATTACAAACTGTGCTACTATAAACATGGGTGCACATATATCACTGTGGTATGACTCTTTTAAATCTTTTAGGAAGATACGAAGCAGGGGGATGGCTGGGTCAAATGGGACATCTAATCCTACTTGTTTAAGTTATCTCCATATTGATTTCCACAGTGGTTGCACCAGCCTGCACTCCCACCAACAATGGAGAAGGGTTCCTTTCTCCCCACAAACATACCAGCATTTGTTACTGGTTGATTTCTTGATAGCAGCCATTTTTTCTGGGGAGAGATGCAATCTCAGTGTTGTTTTCATCTGTATCTCTCAGGTGACCAGTGATGTTGAACATTTTTTCATATGTTTATTTGCTGCTTTTGCTTCTTTGTCTGAGAAATATCCGTTCATTTCAGATGTGAATTTTTTAATCAGTCTTTATATTTGGGGGGCCTGATTTTTTTTTAGTTATTTATATATTCTAGATAGTAGACCTTTGTCTGAGAAACAGCTGGTAAAAATTTTTCCCACATTTTAGGTTGTCTGTTATCTCTGTTTGTGGTTTCTCATGCAGTGCAGAAGCTTTAAAGAGAGAGAGAGAGAGAGAGAGAGAGAGAGAGAGAGAGAGAGATCCCAGTTGTTGATTCTTTGTGCTAGTTCCCACTCTGCTAAGGATTTGTTCATAGTCTTTTCCTATGCTAATGTCTTCAAGAGTTCTACCTAGCTTATCTTCCAGCAAGTTTAGTGTTTCTCTTTTAATATTTAAATCTTTAATCCATTTGGATTTTAATTTAATGCATGGTGAAAGATAAGGGTCTAGTTTTAATCTTTGCCAAGCTGAAATCCACTTTTTTCCAACACCATTTATTAAAGAAGCTATCTTTCCTCCAGTGAGGATGGTTGGCTCCTTTGTCAAAGATGAGATAGCTAAGTATATCTGGAGTTGTTTCTGCAGCTTCTAATCTATTCCACTGATCCTTGGGTCTGTTTCTTTGCCAGTACCATGCTGTTTTTAATACAGTGGCTTTGTAATATAGTTTCAAATTGGGGATTGTGATACCCCCTGCCATGTTTCTGTTGCCTAGAATGGCCTTAGCTATTCTAGGTCTATTCTGGTTCCAAATGAATTTTTGGATTGTTTTTCTCTAGTTCTGTGAAATATACTGTTGGAATTTAAATCAGGATTGCATTGAATCTGTTTAGCAGTTTTGGAAGTATGGCCATTTTCATTATATTGATTCTTCCTACCCAGGAATGAGGGATATCTTTCAATTTTCTTATATCCTCTTTGATCTCTTTTTTATCAGAGTGTTGTACTTCTCAATGTAGAGGTCTTTTGACTCCTTTATTAGATTGATTCCTAGATATTTCTTTTTTTATTCTATTGAGAAAAGGATTGTTTCCCTGATTTCTCTCTTAGGGAGGCTTTTATTGTGTACAAGAAGGCTAATGAGTTTTGAGTGTATCCAGATACTCTACTGAATCTGTCAATCAAGTCTAGAAGTCTTTTGGCAAGTTTTTTGGGTCTTCTATGCAGAGAATCATATTGTCAGCAAATAATGACAGTTTAACTTCTTCCTTTCCTATCTTTGTTGTTTTATTTCCTTCTCTTGTCCAATTGCTGTGGCTAATGTTTCCAAAACCAATAGAAGTGGTGATAGTGGACATCCTTGTCTTTTTCCTGATTTTAATGTGAAGGTTTTCGGGTTTTGACCATTTAGTATTGTGTTGGCTATTCATTTTTTATAGATAGCCCTTATCAAGTTAAGATAAAGACCATCTGTTCCAGATTTCTGCAGGGTTTTTAATCATGCATGGGTGTTGAATCTTGTCAGATGTCTTTTCTGCATCTATTGAGATGATCATATGGTTTTTGTCCTTGACTCTGTTAATATAATGTATTACATTTATTGACTTACGTATGCTGAGCCATCCTTGCAACCCTGGAATAAATCCAACTTGGTCAGAGTGTATGATCTTCTTGATGACCCTCTGTATTCTGTTTGCCAGTATCTAATTGAGGATTTTTTCATCTAGGTTCATTAGGGAGATTGGCCTATAGTTCTCTTTTTTGGTTGGGTCTTTCCCTGATTTTAGAATCAAAGTAACACTCTCTTCTAGGAATGAACTTGGAAGTATTGCTTCCCTTTTAATTTCATTGAAAAGTTCAAAAAGTAGGTCTATAGTTCTTTT